TTTTTCGTGTAAATCAAATTCTCCAATCAGTAGTGTTCTCTGAGCTGGTTGGTTTAGTTGGGGAGCTTTCGTCAACCTTCTAGACAACATCTTCAGCGCAATATTTAGGATAAAGTGAAATGATTTAAATTTTCTTCATGAGTGATATGATTGTGTCTCCCGGTAACCATCTTTACATATGTATTGACCATTATCTATTGACTTGAATTTTAAACTTTCTGGTGACCTGATTCGCTTTTTATTAGTTGGTATATTTCGTCTATATTAACGTGTTTGTTAATTTCACATTCGTTTGAGTACCAGGCTTCTAGGAATTCCCTGACTGCACTTTTCGTGTTTCCTCTGTCTACGATTTCGACATTATCCCAGTTATCAAACTGATGTCCATAATTATCTATATGCATTGGTATGAAAGAATATATATTTTGTCACCTAATGTTTGTACAGGGGTTTTCGTCAGCTGTTGATATACATCATTATCTTTGAGTAAATCCTTTGCTTCCTATACGTAGTCTTCTGTGTCCAGGATTACTGTTGCTTTTCGTTTACAGGCGGTAGAATAACTATATTTTTTCGATTCTTCAGTTTCTTCAATGCATTTCGCACTTCAGTGCTAAGTTGGGAATGATGTCTTTTCTGTTTGAGTATGAGTATGGTACACTGACATATTTCTTGTTGTACTTCCTCATTTAATTTTGATAATTTGAGCTATGATTCTAAGGAAGCACAGAAATCTGTTACTGAAGCATCACCAGTATTGTAGTCTCTTGCTAGAATTTTGACATTGCTGAAATCGATCTTACGTCCACGTTCTACAGTACGAAGTGCTAAAGCTGATCGTATTTCCAAACTCTTTAATTCTACTTCATTTCTGGTTGGATGATCGTGCTACAACATTTTTTTACATTCATTCTGGCCTTCACCTGTCTACTGATGCTGCTTTCCCTGTTACAGCAAGCCTCGCACTCTGAATATTTTATCTTATAAACACAGTTGTTTAGTGTCATTTTGGCAAAATTCGTCTGTGACATTAACTAAAGCTTTCCCTAAAAAATTAGTGCTATATAAGGCGAATACACTTTTCAACGACCCAATTCGACTTTTTGTGGTCTGAACTCATAAAACTGATCCTTGAATATAGCCACAATTGTTTTGAAACACACACAGTTACAAAACGCTCCCCAAGATACTAAAATGATGAGTATTTACCGTAAAATTTATGGCCGCGTTCAACAATAATTCATTCAAAAATTCAAAGTTACCTCAATAGTACCATTAGGCAGCTACACAGTCTGGATGATTTTTCAGTACAAAACAAGTACTGTAGAACAAGATCAGCAGGAAGTATCCGAGAATCAGCCAGAATATTTCCAGCAAGGTGAAATCAAACATCTGTCCGCAAGAATTACACACCCAACAATCTCCGTACACAGTACAAAGTCAGAATCACTTTAAATCACTTAAACTCAATCACATCATAACAAAACACATCACTAGTATCACCTACACACACATGAAGAGAATCAAGAAAATTAGATATTGAACAGGAACAAAGTCAGAGGATAAGGATCAAGTCAGCAGGTGATATGCGAACAGAACATGACGATAATATACAGTTGGGAGAAAGAGTCGATGATAATTACGAAATTAGTTGAAATATTCGAATAACTATCAATAATGTAATTGGATTGTTGAGGAGGGATTGTACAAATTATCATTCTATGACTGTCCATTTTAAGTAAGATTTTATTTTGATAAGTCACACAGTAATATTAACTGGTGACGTTCCGTTCACAAATTATTGCCCATAATCATATCAAGCTACTCTGTAGGCTAAAAGCCCCGTTGGAACCAGTTAGACAAAATAATATAATTTACAAAATACCCTTCAATGACTGTGACGTCAACTATATATGTCATACTCGTAGATCAGGGGGTAATAAGATTGGCGGAACATAAGAATTCAGCTAAACTAAGAATGGTTGACACCGAGAAGATAAGTAATTTAGAAAAATGCTCAGCGATTGCATTACATGCATTAACACATTACCACACAATAGAGTGGGAGAGGGTTAGGATTCTAAGAAGGTATCTATGTAGGTGGAGATAGAGAGATTGATTACTGAATCCTTCCTGGTTCATCGAGTCTACACCCTACGCATGCAACAGAAATGACTCAATGCAAATACCAGAGATATGCATGGAAGATATTATTACCACCAGTCAGTCAAATCAGAGGAGGATAATAAATAATCTCAAAATTCTATTGCAAATCAAGCACATCACAACATTCTAACAAGTTACTTTTTTTGACTATAAAAGCAGTCGTCTTGTTTCCCATCTGATTGTATTTGATCTATAACACTCATATTATTATTATTTCTGAATGTACATTATCATATTGATTTTTATTTAAAAATCTGGTTATTTCGACACATGTATATAATCATAATAGTGGTAATGATAATATTAATAATAGTAATAACAATAATAATGGTTTTATCAATAATAAGGATGAAAAAATGAGGCAATCTGTGATGACACGAATAATAAAAACAGTATGATTAAACAAACAACAGATGGAAGTAGTCGATAAAGGCTAGTAAAATGAACAAATGAACGATTACGTAATGTTAGATTGTAGGGGAAGGAAATGAAGCACATTTATAATGAAGATAAGATTAAGGGATGATAAGAAAGGGGTTGGAAATATAAATAAGGGATGGTGTAAAAGTCTTTAGTTGGTTATGTCTTATTAGGCCACGGGAGGGATAATGGCTGTACGAACTTCTTTTGAATGCATAGTTTAGGTTTAATAGTTCGAATGCCTGTCGCCTCAGCTGTGTGCAGTAGACGAATACGAAGTCTATTAGAAGGATTCGGTGGGAAACGATGAATTACTTTGAAGGCTTTGACATGTATATAAATGAAGCAAGAAAGTTGTGTGAGTAGTGACTTGATATGATTATGAGCAATAGTTCGTCCTCGAAACGTGGTCATCAGTTAATATTACTGTAGAAAACTGTGTGTGACTTATCAAAATAAAATCTTTCTTCTTGTTCCTTCTGTTCTTAATGTTATTTAGAATTATTCCCCTTTAGGAATATGAATAGAAGAAGAGCAACAGTCTTTTGCAGAATATGATACCATCATTTATCTCGTCTGGTTCTCATTATCTGCTTACAGCCTAAATAAATCATTTTGAAGTCTATGTACAGAAAATTTTTAGCATACTTGCAAATTTTACATGATGTCAGTTGGCAGGAGGCTCTGGACTAAGTGAATGGTGCTAAGGAAACTAAACTTATACAGTTTTAACACAGGGAGCTCATGCTTAAACAAAGTAAGGGAGTTATGTAACAAAGACGAGAGACGCTTATGATGACGATTAGCTAATTAACTGGGTAACCATATAGCATGTGCGACTCGAATGATAGAAACAAAGACGAGCGAAATTATGCTGTGCCGAAGGGGTAAGGTGGGATTAAAACAAAAGAAAACGTGATCAAATGAAAGAAGTAGACAAATTAAAGGCACTTAATTACCAGGTTGGCAGGGAAAGATTGATATTTGCATATTTCTAAACACATAAATCAAGTCTCAGGCGTTTAATAGAGATTGCTTGGACAAACATCAGCAGAATTAAACTATTTTTAAAGTAATTCTCAATTTCCAACTTCAAGAAAATATTTCTAATTTTCTAAACATGCTGAGATTACTTTTAGAAATTTCAAAGTAAAAAAAATTAGAAAATTAATGTAGCAAGCATATGAAACTAGGATAATGATCATTGCTGTCTTTGAAACCATTCATTACTGGGTATATATAACGAAGATTATTTTGAGTCCCTTTCTATAATGTCTTATAATTAATTTGGCGCATTTCATTACGTTATATCCAGTTTCCTAGATGGTACTTTGGAATAATCAATTATTTTCTCTCACACGAAATCAAAGAAGAGTTTCCCTAAGGACACATTACAAAATCTACCCAACATCGCCGAGTTTTAAGACTATAAAATCATAGATGCTTATATAGTGAATTATTTCAATTCTGTTTTTCAGAATTTCGCCTACCAATTTGCTCCAGTTTGAGTACGCGATTCAAATGTGATTGTTGTCACCTATCAACACAAATAAGTGGTGACCTTGGCAGTTTGAGATTATTAGTTTAACAACAGCTATGTCCTTATAATAAAATGATGGCCTGTGATATCCCTATTTGTAATTTATTACGCTCCAATTACTTATTCTAACACAGGGGAGAAATGTATTCAGTTATTTAGGATTTTCTTAGGTCGTCCATAAAAAGATGTATCAAGCGACATTTTCTAGTAAAATTGCAGCGAATGTAACGCCGTTCAAGGATATAACACAACCGATAATATGAAGCCAGAAAAGTATTTTTAATACGAAGAAGTAGGAGAAGACATTAGGCTTGGTAAATGTGTGCCCATCTGAATTTCGGTATTCCTGCAAAGTAAAATTATGTACACCTTATCTTCAACACACCATTCGCACAGATCTTCTGTGCTGTGCTACTTCTGGCCTCCCTTCATATTATGTGTTTCTTTATGTTCTGTTCACGTCTCTCATGTATCTTTGCAACGCTGTATCATTTGCTGTCTCTGACATCAAAATTATGTTCCTGCTATTTCCTGCTTTTATGCGATGACCATCTCTTTATAGGCTACTGACAAATCATATTAATAGCAACCGCCGCCCTACGACCCATTGATATACAATAAAGCAACTTGGCACATTGTTATTTCTTGAAAATAATCACCGTTTGTGGGAGTTCTGCTTCATCATATGATTAAACATTTTTCAGAAAGGCTTTTATCTAATTCGTACAAGAAGAATAAATATAAAACTGAATAACATTATAAATAGCTGGCATACCGCTTAGAGCTATATGTGATTGGCTGTCTTTCACACACCAATCATATTGCACATTAGGCAAAAGTTCTCTATGAACTTTTATGCATAAGACACTTTGACTAAGATCTGAAAGTATACTGGATAATTATTTGATCAAATGGAAGTTTTGATGAAAAATTTATTGTTTAAAATAGACAAATTATTTATGTGTTTATCTTATTTGACGATTTGAAACAAAGGATTTATAAACTACTATATATTTTCATTAATTTAATAATAAAATGAATGATGATATGTAAGTTTCCTGTAGTTTCCAGAAATTTAATTATTATGTAATTTGATTGTATTTGATTGTTTATACAAGTTGCATAGTTCATATTTTCTAAATGTAACCATACTGTTATTATTATTGTCCCCTTGGGTTCTTAGTGGAATATAGGGCTTCAACTGCATGTTTCTACTTGCTTCTGTCTTCCTTGTGCTGTACTTTTCACCTGCATCCATGTTAGTCCATACTGTTTCAACTCCTCTTCACCCCATCTCCTCCATGTCACATTGGACATCCCACTCGCTGCATCCCTTTCGGCCAGGTTCCACTCGAGCAATGGCCTGACACGCGCGCGATGTTACCCAGCGGCCTCCTCCGCGAGCGAGTGTCCAATCCATCTCCACTTTCTCCCACATATTTCTTGGTTGGCAATTGGTTCTTGTTTTGTTTTGTTTGTTCCCATAGTTTCTTGTTGGTGATTACTTCCGACCTGGCCATCTGATCTTCAGTATAGAGCGAAGACAGTTAGTTGTTGATAAAGGTCTGCGACAGGCTGTTGGAAATATTCTTTGTGACCCTCCCGCCAAGTTTCTGATCCGATCCGTATAGAAGAGCTGACTGACTTGACGTTTGTATTGAAAATCCGAGTGGATTTTGTTGTTGATTCTGGTTGAGTGACGAAGATTTCCAGATTGGTTGTTTCAGGTATATGAATGTGTTTCTCGCCTTCCTGATTCCCCATTTGACATCCTCGTCCGTTCCGACTGTATGTAGTTGACACAATGTTCACTAGATAAGTGAATGAATGAAGTGACCTTTTTCAAATCCCTCCAGTTGAAAATGTACTGTTAAGTTTGCAAAATTATTAATAATTACATTCAGAGTGGTTCTGTAATGTTTTTAAAGAATAAGTAATTCTTCATAATTTAGTCATTCAAGTTTTCGTTTGTAGGGAATTGTTTGATTGAATTAATGATTTCATTATGATCTGAAATCAGCTAGAGAAACACTGAAAACCTCCAGGGACTACTGGACAGACGTCTTGTCCTAGTTTGGGACTCTTCATCAGTACGCACCCGCCCCCAGGGTTCAAACATAGGAGCTTCTGGTCATGAGGCTGGCTCGTAGACCAGTAAGCCATTTGGACCCAATCCAATGGTCCATGAATTCCAACTTCTGCCGATTCACAACATCATGCGATGCTGATATTCAATGAGATGCTCACTAGAGGCTGGCCCTATTCAGGTAGTTAGTTACCTGAGGTTCTGGTGGAAAGTTGTGGTCAGTACAATACAGCTGATCAGACTTGAGGACAAATACTTACAGAAGACATTTTCTAACGGTCACGCTTCGTCGTGAATTGACAGAAGTTAGAATTCATGGGCCATTAGATCGGGTTAATGGTCTACGAGCTAGTTTGCCTTGTAACCAGAGGATCCTGCGTTCAAACCCCGAGGATGGGCGCGCACTGACGAAGACCCTCAAACTAGGACGAAACAGATGTTCAGTACTCCTAGGTTTTCCAGTGAATCTCTTACTGATTTCAGCTCCTAATGGAATCCAGTAACCAATCTGATTACTATTACCTTAATTCCCAAGGCTTTCAAAAGCACATACAAATTTTTATTCCGTTTTCTGCAATCTATTTTACCTGGCTCCATTATTCCCCATGCGTTTTCATCTTCTTTTTCTACGATCTTCTCGTAAGCATATCCAACTCGCCGTCTTCTGCTCGGGTTCTACTCGAGGTTCTGTCTGGACTGTACTGTCACTGAACAGTCTCCACAGAGTAGATTCAGTTCACATCCACTTCTTTCAGAATATGTTTTTGGTCGGTTCATCCCCAGAGGTTTTCGCTTATCACTTTTAGTTAATTGACCTCCAGTATGTCGTTCAGGCAGCTGTTGATGAACGCCTGCAACGGCCTGTTTGAAATGCATTTGATATCGCGTGTGATGATCCTCTGAACCATACAGAACAAATAACTCCATACTAGCTTTGAAAATAGTGCGTCGGTGGTTCAGCGGCAGGGCGCTGGCTAACCATGCATGTGGTCTGGGGTTCGAGTCCCGATTGGCGCACACTCAGCTGGTTACAATCCTGACAAAGAGGGAGGGTCGGTTGTGAGACCAGCAACCCCACCCCCTAAAAACACCACTGCTACTGAAACTTCAAAGCTAAAACTTGGAGCCCTGCGTTCCACTGAGAACGTAAAAGAACGAAAAAAGCTTTGAAAATCATAATCTAATTCTTTATGCTGAGTGCAGTATAATTACACATTGTTTTTAAAATAATAAAGGTTTCTCTCCCTTTTTCGATCTGGACTTTAATATATTCATCCGTCCCGTCTGTAGTGGAAACAATATTACCTAGATGAGCTCACCCTCTGATGACAAATGATGCTTGTTGTCGTCGTTAGTTAGTTAGTTAGTTAGTTCAAGGTTAGTTAGCTAGTTACTTAGTTAATTAGTTAGTTAGTTAGTCATTAGTTAGTTAGTTAGTCATTAGTTAGTTAGTTAGTTAGTTACTTAGTTATCTTCGCCATCCCTGTGTTCTCAATTTTCACTTAAATTCTTTTCTTCACCACTTCTTGTGCCATATTGTTGGTTTTCACCTTTAGATCTTCTAGTTTGTGTTACATCATATATAAATCGTCTGTCAAATCTAGATCCTCCGGAGTCTTTTCTTAGGACTAACAAATGTTCTTCTTCTCTTCATACGTCGCAGCCTAATCCATGATCGAGCCAATCACAATCAGGAATATAATCACCGACAGTATACAGCTTTATCATACTCCTGTCTTCACTTCAAAGGCTTTATTGAGCTTTCTGTTATGAATAACTCGGCATGTAGCACCATCGTGTAGCAGCTGAATGATGTGTGTACTTGTTTGAGCCACTCTATTCTGTGGTGTTCAGGCAGTTTTCTAGTCACTTTTTAGTCAGATGATGTTTATGGTCGTTTCAGAGTCCATGAGAATGACATAAGGCGTTGGCTACCATTCGCTCCTGGAGGCGATGGTTAGCGTTATAATTTGACTAACTTATGAATCATGTCTGCTCCTGATGAAGTCTTCCATCCAATGCATCTTTTAGTCTTTCCAGGATTATATCACATAATATTTTATATTTAGCGTGTATAAAAAAATATTTTCGCGGCAGGCTAAATCGTTAAATTTCCTATATCTGTTTCTTGTGCAACAGAAAAAGAACTCAACCTGTAGAACTGAACACTTTATACACTTTCAATGATATTTTATGTAAAAAGTGAAGCACTAGTGATTTTTAAATCAGAGCAATATTCCTAAACGAAGTCAATCGCCAGCTTGAATGGCTTAGTGATTACGTCCCTGACTGCAGCGTTGAGTTACAGGGCTTCGGACCTCGGAAGGGGCATAAGTTCCTTCAAGGCTGTAGATACGCGTTGCTGCCTAGTGAGTGCCAACTAGCATTAAGCATAGGTTCAAGGCTTCTTACCGATTACTTCCAACCATCTAACGTCAACAATTCATAGTGCACCATGTTGGTAAGCCAACTAGAATGGTGGCCAAATTGCAAACGACTGAGAGAATTTAGTGTGCACCGAACAAAGCACTTGTCACTCTTTAGACTATTTAGCGACTAGTGTGCAATCGAAAGTATCTTCTTTTCTGTTTCACGCAGGTCTTATATTGATTTAATTCAAATGTCCAGACAATTTTAACTCATGTTTACAAACTGACCAAGAGAGCAGTGTGAGTGCCTTGATTTGATTATGAGGAATAAACTGTGCTCGAAACGTGGTCATTAGTAAATATTACTGTATAACACCGTATGACTTTATCAAAATAAAATTTAACCCATAATGGAATTATGCTTATCTCCATCTAACTGTACTTCAATGGTATTAGGTTGAAGCACCCTGGTGTCATCTCAGAATCTGAAATGCTGCAAGTCATTTTATATCCTTGAAACACTGTAAGCAAGAGAACACATTCACTTTTACATAAACCATTAACTTATACTACTTAGAATGGTTTTAGTAGTAATATTATTTCAAAACTACTGTAGTGGTATTCGTAGAGTATGATAACATGACATATTCCAAGTATCAACAAGTTAACAATCAGGTTAATGTTTATATAATCTATTGGTTTCTCATTTCATGTTCTACATTTTCTGTACACTTTTGTATATCTGCTCTGTTTTCACCTATCATGTAAGTTAGAAAAAAAAACATTGGAAAAAGGATTACATTTCACTAGATTTATTGTATTTTTGTGTTATTCTAATTACCTGGCCTAGACACTTCTTACCAATTCAGGAAAAAATATACCTAAATATTTCACTGTACAGCTAAAGTACATGATAAAATCTTAATAAACATTATACAATTTGTATTGACTAGTCAGCAGAAAATGTATTTCATTATAAAAAAGGAAGGTTTTTATATTTTCTTTTTTTCAACACCGTATTCTGTATTATTGCCCAAAGTAAACCATCTTCGATTTCTGTAATACATAAATAATGCAGCTGAATCTCTCTAGCCTCTGATATTTAACCTAATCGATATTTAGAGGCTTTTTGTAATTTATTTGACACTCGATGGAAGATAAATGGAAGAAAAATATTTTTTAAATTCCAGATTTACAGCTTGTTATCAAGACGTGATCTAATATTGAACTGTTGATGGTTTCAACATCTTTATTTAACCACAGTGCTAAGTGTTCCCTAGAAGAAGCTTCTATATCTACGATTACAATTCATATATACCAGGTGAAATAATAACTAACATTTGAAGAAATTGATTCAAATAACGTTTAATAGCTGTTCTGTAGCTTACATTTTGCAGAAAACCCGTCGTGATTCAAAATTCAAAGATGAAGTGCATAAGTAAGCCACCTCTATCTATCTACCTATCAAGTGAAATGCTTCTGTGGAGTCAGTTGCTCTAAGATCCTCATTCTTGGATCTCAGGTACAACACCCAATGTGGTTAAATAAAGATGTTCTTTATAAGGTTACCGCATCCAAACGGGCGCGAAGCTTG